TCGAGGAAGTTTGGGTGACTGTTCAGGCAGCCAGCTGTTTCTGTCATTTCTATAGTTCTGGAAATTGTTTGCTCTACATTTCCTTTTTAATCAGGTAATGCTATATCTTTCTCAGAATTCTGATAGGGTTGAGGATGAGGTACTTATAGTTTTACAGTTTTCCTTGTTACCAAATTCAGGAAAAAAATACTTATATAAGAGATGTAAAGTTTATAATATTGAGAAACAAAAGCTTAAGTTGTTTATCTAAGAGGATCTTTTTAGGTCTAAAAAGATATCTTTATGTTGGTAACACAAGTTTTGATAAAAATGGTTTAAGTATAAAACTTTACATTCATCAAGATAAGATAGATAACAGAGCACTTTGTCTAAATTTGGTAAATCCAAATGGACTGGACATTGTGAATGTAATTCTTACTTGATAATTGTTCTTATTGTATATAATTTTACTGTATTAGAGTTAAAACCTTTCCTTTTAATTTAGACAAAAGGGGTAATTGTGAGATATTTGTACATTGTGTGAAGGTGTATTGCTGTGATTGTTGTAATAAAAAGCTGGACAGCCAATAGCTAGAAAATGGTTAGGTGGGACTTTCATGGACAGAGAGGAGTCTGAGAAGAAGGGTGGAGTCACCAGCCACATGGAAAGGAAACAGGAGGTGAAAGATTGAAGAGAGGTAACGCTACATGATAAAACATAGGTTAATATAAATGGATTAATTCAACATACAAGAGCTAGTTAGCAACAAGCTTAAACTATAGGCTGAGATTTCAAAATTAATAGGAAGTCTCTGTGTCATCATTTGGGAGCTGGCTGGCAGGACTGGAAAAGCCATATTACACTGGAGAGATGGTGACAGAGGCCAGGAAGGATAGATAAAATTGCCTCAGTCTGAATCTCTGTCGAGTCTCAGGTTAGTGTGGTTACCAGGTTTCTTCTAGGTACCTGAAGCTGACACAAGGAATGAGGATGGTACAGAAGAGAAGAATGAGGGTCCCCATGAAAGAGCTAGCCTTGATTCCCAATAAAAGGCAGAGTTTATAGAGAACAGAGATAGTGTAATAGAAGTGGTACTTGAATGCAGGGTGCTACAGGGCTAAAGGTGAGACTGGAGAGATCATAATGGAGGACAGGAAGGAAGGTAGAAATCAACTACCTGAGTCATAGCCCACTGAGGCCAATAGCAGTCTGTGGTAGAAAGTGTTTCTAGGTATAGGCAGCTGGCACACAGCAATGTGAATGGACTGCAAGGGATGGTTAAGAGGATCCAACATTTAAAAATTATTAAACTTTTGACTCTAACTTGCAAACTAAATGTTTCAGTTTACTGATCCATAGCAATCCTACTAAAACTAAACATAAGTTTCTGGTTCCAAGTTCTCTTCCCTTATTTAACAATTCTGTCTTCTTTTTCACTTCATACTTAAATGTTGATGGACAAAGAGAGGAATCAGATGTGGTAGACATGTCTGGACTCAGTTTCTACATTTGACTTTTGAATAACATTTTATTTTTTCTTTCTTTAACTTTTCAGATTATAATATAATTACATCAAATCTCCTTTGCCTTTCCTCCCTGCAAACCTTCTATTATACCTGCCTTGCTCTCCTTTAAATTCATGCCATCATTTTTCATTAATTATTGTAAAAGAAAAATACACAAACATCAAAGTAAGTAGAAAAAATGGATGAAACAAGGCTTATGGTCATACTTTTTCTATTATTCTTTTTTAAAGATAAACCAATGAGAATTGCAGATCAATTTCACTCATGAACATTGATGCAAAAATACTCCCTAAAGTATTGGCAAACCAAATCCAAGAACACATTAAAAAGATTACCTACTATGACCAAAATGCTTTATCCCAGAGATGCAGGGATGGTTCAACATATGAAAATCAGTGAACGTATTCCACCATATAAACAAACTGAAAAAAAAATGTGATCATCTCATTAGATGCTGAAAAAGTCTGTGACAAAATCCAACACCTATTCATGATAAATATCTCGGAGAAATCATGGATACAAGAAACATTTATAAACATAATAAAAGCAATATAAAGCAGACCGATTACCAACATCAAATAAAATACAGAGAAACTTAAAGCAATTCTACTAAAATCAGGAACAAGACAAGATTGTCCCCTCTCCCCATACCTATTCAATATAGTACTTGAAGGTCTAGATAGAGCAGTAAGACAACAAAAGGACACCAAGGGAATACAAATTGGAAAGAAAGAAGTCAAAGTATAGATATTTGCAGATGATATAATAGTATATTTAAGTAACCCTCAAAACTCTACCAGAGAACTACTACAGCTGAGAAACACCTTTAGTAAAGTTGCTAGATAAAAGATTAACTAAAAAAATAGCCCTCCTATATACAAATGATAAATGGACTGAAAAAGAAATCAGACAATCCATACCATTTACCATAATCTCAAATAATATAAAATATCTTGGTGTAACTCTAACCAAGCAAGTGAAAGACCTTTATGACAAGAATTTCAAGTCTTTGAAGAAAGAAAAAGAAGAAGATATCAGAAGATGGGAAAATGTCCCATGCTCATGGATCAGTAGGGTTAACATAGTAAAAATGACCATCTTACCAAAAGCAATCTATAGATTCAAAGCACTCCACATTAAAATCCCAACACAATTCTTCCCAAACCTTGAAAGAACAATGGTCAACTTCATATGGAAAAACAAAACACCCTGGATAGCTAAAACAATCCTGTACAATAAAGGAACTTCTGGAGGTATCACCATCCCTGACTTCTGCTGTGGCATGTTCTATATGGCAAATGTGTTGCTCTGATTGGTCAATAAATAAAACACTGATTGGCCAGTGGCTAGGCAAGAAATATAGGTGGGACTAACAGAGAGGAGTAAAGAAAGAACAGGAAGGCAGAAGGAGTCACTACCAGCTGCCACCAGGACAAGCAGCATGTGAAGATGCTGGTAAGCCATGAGCCACGTGGCAAGGTATAGAATTATGGAAATGGAATAATTTAAGCTATAAGAACAGTTAGCAAGAAGCCTGCCACAGCCATCCAGTTTGTAAGCAATATAAGTCTCTGTATTTACTTGGTTGGGTCTGAGCAGCTGTGGGACTAGAGGGGGACAAAGATTTGTCCTGACTGTTGGCAAGGCAGGAAAACTCTAGCTACAGACTTCAAGCTCTACTATAAATATATAGTAATAAAAACAGGTTGGTATTGACATATAAACAGACACATGGATCAGTGAAATCTAATCAAAGACCCAGATGTAAACCCACACACCTATGGACACCTGATTTTCTGCAAAGAAGACAAAACTATACAATGCAATAAAGAAAGCATCTTCAACAAATGAAACTGGTCTAACTGAATGTCAGCATGTAGAAGAATGCAAATATATCCATATTTATCATCCTGTATAAAACTCAAACCCAGTTGAATAAAAGACCTCAACATAAATCCAGATATACTGAACCTGACAGAAGAGAAAGTGGGAAATAATTTCAAACTCATTGGCACAGGAATCAACTTCCTGAACAGAACAACAGTAGCACAGGCACTAAGATCAACAATCAATAAATGGGACCTCATGAAATTTAAAAGTTTTTGTAAGGCAAAGAACATAGTCAATAGGACAAAAAGGTAGCCTACAGAATGGGAAAAGATCTTCACCAACACAACATTTAACAGAGGGCTGATCTCCAAAATATATAAAGAATTTAGAAATTAGATATCAACAAACAAAATAATCCAATTTAAAAAAATGGGATGCAATGGGACTTGACTAGGCCCTCTGCATAAAGGAGAAAGTTGTGTAGCTTGTTTTGCTTAAGGGGCCCCTGGCAGTAGGATCAGGATACAAACCTGGTATATGAGCTGGCCTTTTGGAGCCCATTATCTGATGGTGGGATGCCTTGCTCAGCCTTGATGCGGGGGGAAGGGCTTGGACCTGCCTCACCTGAATGGACCAGACTCTGCTGACTCCTCATGGGCGGTCATACCTTGTTGGAGGAGGGAATGAGGGAGTGGATTGGGGGAGAAAGGTGTGAGGGGGGAAGGGAAGAGATGGAGATCTGTGGGTGTTATGTAAAATGAATAAAAATTTCTTAATAAAAAATAAAATAAAAAATGGGGTTCAGATCTAAACAGAATTCTCAACAAAAGAATCTCAAATGGTCAAGAAACACTTCAGGAGTTGTCCAGTATCCTTAGACATCAGGAAAATACAAATCAAAATGACTGAGATACTGTATTATACCTGTCAGAATGGCTAAGATCAAAAATACAATTGGCAGCTCATGCTGGAGAGGATGTGAAGTAAGGGGAAGTGTTATGGGATGTTCTGTATGCTGTGAATATGTGTTGCTCTGATTAGTTGATAAATAAAATGCTGATTGGCCAGTAGCCAGGCAGGAAGTATAGGCTGGATAAACAGACAAGGAGAATTCTGGGAAGAGGAAGGCTGAGTCAGAAGATGCCAACCCACTGTTCAAGGAGCAACATGTAATGGCACACAGGTAAAGCCACAGAAAATGTGGCAACATATAGATTAACATAAATGGGTTAGTTCAAATGTCAGAGCTAGTCAGTGGTAGGCCTGAGCTAATGGCTGAGAAGTTTTAATTAATGTAAGCCTCTGTGTGTTTACTTGGGTCTGAGGGGCTGCAGACCAGGCAGGGCACAGAAAAGCTACAAGGAATACTCCTGCTGGTGGGAGTGGAAACTTGTACAGCACTTTGGATGTCAGTATGGCAATTCCTCAGAAAACTGGGAATCAACCTACCACAAGACCCAGCTATACCACTCTTGGGCATATATCCAAAGGATGTGCAATCATACCAAAAGGGCTCGTGCTCAACTATGTTCATAGCAGCTTTGTTTGTAATAGCCAGAACCTGGAAATAACCTAGATGTCCCTCAGCTGAGGAATGGATAAAGAAAATGTGGTACATTCAAACAATGGAGTGTTACTCAGCTGTTAAAAACAAGGACACCAGGGTGCTCGCTTCGGCAGCACATATACTAAAATTGGAACGATACAGAGAAGATTAGCATGGCCCCTGCGCAAGGATGACATGCAAAAACAAGGACACCAGGAAATTTGAAGACAAATGGATGGAACTAGAAAAAAAGCATTCTGAGTGAGGTAACCAAGACTTATAAAGACAAACATGCTATGTACTCACTCATGAGTGGATATTAGCCATAAAATGAAGGATAACTATGCTAGAATCAACAGACCCAGAGAGGCTAGGTAACAAGGAGAGTTAATGAGGTGACACACAGATTTCCCTTGGAAAGGGAAGTAGAAGAGAATTCGCGAGTGGATTGAGGGGAGGTGGAGATGGGAAAATGAGCATGATTGATCAGGTTGAGGTGGGAACAGAGAGGGAGAGTGCTTAGGGGGATTGCTGGGCGTGGACATTTCAGGGTCAGGCAGAAGCTTGGTGCAGGGGAATCTCCCAGGATTCTATGGGGGAGGATCCCAGCTTAGACTCTTAGCAATAGTGGATAAGTAGCCTGAACTGGCCATCCCCTGCGACCAGATTGGTGCCTGGCCCAATTGTCATCAGAGCGGCATTATCCAGCTATATATATGTGTGTGTGTGTGTGTGTGTGTGTGTGTGTGTGTGTGTGTGTGTGTGTGTGTGTATGTATCAAATGAATATTTCCAAAGTTTGAAGCAAGAAAATGTCTAGATATGCTGAAAACTCAGTAACAGTGAGCACTTAAGGTACCTAACCTGTGACACCAGCATAGTGTTTACCTATGAACAACAAAAGAAAATGCTTCTTGAAAAAGGGCCTGACAAGTATTTTACAGAAAATCCTTTCATGGAAGAAAATAAGTTTTCAACATTATTATAGGCATGTCAAAAACTGCAATTTGGGACTAGAGAATGACTCATTGGTTAAGAGCACTTGCTGAACTTATAGAGGACCTATGTTTGCTTCCCAGCACACACTAAGACTCCAGTTCCGTGGGATCCAATAACATTTTCTGGCCTCCGTGGGCAACAAAGACATATGCAGCACACAGATATGCATGCAAGGATAACACCATACACATAAAGCTAATTTTTTGAAAGCATCAACTAGATGACCCTTTTAAAAATTGACTAATCAGCAAAGGACTTAAATATATCAAATATGCTTAAATCATGAATTGATAATGAAAACATAGAAAAAGTCTTTGGTCACCTTTAAAACATGCTTAAACATTAATGCATAATTTTATAGTTTATTAAGTAGGTAGAAGGAATGAGGGATTTATCTTGTCTTCCCTTTACAAAAGGTATTTTAGTTTGATCAAAATATTATGAAGAAAAGTTTCTCTTTATGAGAGAATTCTTTAATAAGGAAAACATGATAAAATTGAAATACCATCAATTTCTAAACCCTAATGAATTATTAGATTCAAAACAGCCATAAGTAGGTACGATGGACTCTGTTATGAAAAAAAAAGTCAATTTTGCAATCATGAAAATGTCTGAACAAAAAAAATCTGGGTCTGATGAACCATTTTTCACTAGCCACTAATTTTATAGTAAATTCAGAAGACAGAGAACACTTAGAGCAAATACTTCAGGGATCCAGTCAGCAAAACTATAAGAAACTAAAGGACAAGGGAGTCAAATTCTTTAAAAAATCAGAGACAAAGAACATCCAGAGAGGCAACCTGCAAATTTAGACATCAGCTACTTGCATTATGAAGACATCATTTATGTATTGACTGGAGTATAGCCATAAAAATTGGAAAGAAAAAAAAACCTGCAAGGAATAGTGGAGGTAGCCAGTGTCAAATATCACAGCATATTCTAATGTACCAGAAACTGAAATGATAAACCACTAAAATCCCTTTCAAATCAAATATCATTTCCTCTGTGCTTTGAGAAGTCTTCTTGTCCTTGGTGTTAGGTTCAAAAATCTCCTAGTAAAATCAGCATCTTTGTTTCCATCTCAGATCCTTAGCAAACATAACATGACATTTCCAATGAATAAAATACAGAAGTAATACAAGGACAGGGCAATAATGAGATTTACATATTTGAAAAGCTTTTGCACAACAAAAGTAAAATGTTAGAAGCAAACTACAAACAAGGAAAATTATCTGCAAATTTCATTTCAAAATATATCTCTAAAATTTAAAGAACTTTGAAAAATTGAGTGGAAAAACACTTCCTCAATTTAAAAATGGGCAAATAATATGTAATCAGGATATATTGTGTGTGAAAAGGTTCTATTTTCAATACAAAGGGGGCTGGGAAGAAAATGTCTACATAAGATCAGGCTGTAGACAGGGCTGTAAGGCATTTTCTCAATTAGTGCTCAATGGGGGAGGGCCCAGTCCATTATGTATGGTGCCATCCCTGGGATGGTGGTCCTGAGTTTTATAAGAAAGCAGAATGAACAAGCCATGAAGAACAAGCCAGTAATCAGCACTCCTCCATGGCCTCTGCATCCGCTCCTGACTGCAGGTTCCTGCCTTTCTAGAGTTCTGTCCTAACTTCCTTCACTGATGGATTATGGATGTGAAAGTGTAAGCCAAAAAAGCTCTTCCCCCCAAAAGATAGAAATATAAATGATTCTTATCTTGGAAAATTTTATCTACTTCAATCAAAATTAGTTATAATTGTAACTCTACTATAATACAATCTCTCATGTTTCTCCTTTGCAAAATCTATCATAGGCTGTTTGACAAGATCTATGGAAACAAATGTTTCTTATATTGTTGTTGATGGCACTACCAATACTGAGAAAGTGGCTAGATCAAACATCATTTATTCTTCTAGGTTTTGACCCATAATTTCTACCCTAAAAGAAATATAGCCTAAAAATATAAAGGCAAAAATTAAAGTGATAAGAGCACTAATTGTAATGGCTAAAGTTTGATTTCTATTTCATTTTTAAAAATTCACCAAAATCTTAAAAGATATTTGTTCATGAGGGATCATGATTAAATGATGGCAGAGGAAAAAAGACTACAATATACATCTCTAAAATCTTTAAAAATACCAAAAAAGAAAATAATTTTAAATCATAGTAATATTTAATACTTTTTCTGTCTATGAAGCATGAATTACTTTATAATTTCTTAAAAGTAGGCATTGGTTATACATTGACATTTTGATATATTAAGTTGAACAATCTACTCTTATCTTTAAAAACTAAAATTCTTATATTTATACCTTGAAAATATTCTCTTCATGAATATTTAATCATCTCAATTTCTACACTTTCTTATTAAATTTTAGTTATTTAAATATCATTTCAAAGTTACCATTTCATATTTAAAGTTGATCAACTCTTATTTTGAGCTCTGGGCCTTTTAAATTTGCTTTGTATTGTAATGTCTTCATATTCTTTCATTTCTCAGTTACTTTCAGAGTTTGCCTTTTATTTTTTGATTAGTTGTAATAGTACTTTATAATCCATTTTTAATAATTGATATATATGTAATACAAGTGGCACTGGGGAGAACCCATGTTACAAATAGAAATTATAGAAGTTTCTTTACCATAAATGTTATGCTGTGTCCAGTAATGATAATAATGTAAAATCCCCCATCACATTGGCATATATCCCCAGATACTTTTGGTACAACTCAATAAAAATGCTGTTAAGGTCTTTCAAGGCAAAATTTCTTACTTCATAATGGTAGAATGCTTTTGGTTCTGGAATATTTTTGATGTTACTTGGCAACAAGTTGGGATGTAAAGAACTTCATGTTTCAAAATCTAGTTCCCAATTCAAATCTACATGTCACAGAGCAAGTGATGCTTTACAGCTGAGAAATAACAGGTAGCTGTCCCTGTGAAAGGAAGCATTCATTGACTTGGCTTTCTCTATTACTACAATCCAGTGATAGATCATGTAATATTAAGCACACTGAAAGATCATCAACATTAATGTTTGCTTAGTTATCATTTCCATTATATTATGCTGAATTAAACCAGGTGGAATATAGTTTATTCATGTTGTTGTTGATTAACTCTATAACCAGAAGGTAGTCTATTAAATCACAAATGTCTTTAAATTATCACAGAAATTATTTTCTTAGCTTTTTTACTTTGATATATACTGGCTCCTCACTATAAATCAATTGTTTATTATTATATTTATGATTACTTGCTCAGTATATTTTAAGAATAAAAAGTGACATAGAATTTATGTATGAGGAACTAGAACCCCAAAAATATACATAATGATATTGTCTATTAAAATCACATAATTAAGCATCATTCAACAGATTGTTTTAGAATTAATAAGTGGCTATAGCTAAATAAGTTATTACAGATTTTTTGGCTTTATTGTCTAACTGTGGCAGAATCTTCATTAGTTGCTTCCAAATAAAAGTATAAAAAGAAAATATAATGGGAGAATATTGTGGATGGAAAGGTTTACTCAGGGAGGGAGGAGAGTGGAAATATTTGGGAGGTAAAGGTGCAGGTTGGGAAATGATTAATAGAGAAAAGAGAATATAAAGAAACCAGTTGGAAAACAAAATATTTCCACCTGTGCAATAGTGGCTTCACTTTGGGGGGAAAAGTAAGCAACTTTCCTCAGAATGGATTCAATACCCTCTTCACCAGTGAAGCAGGAGACCAGTACTTGGTACTGTAAGCCTGGCTAACAACCCATATATGGGGAGGTAGTAGCCACATACAAGGGAAGTATTTCTGGTGGTTAACTGAATTGACATAGCAGTAAACTGCCTTCTAAACAGTTATACTTATGTGCAGACACAAAGGCTGCTCCCAGCATTAACCAAAACAGCCTCTCCTTAAAATGAACAGTAGTAAATGCAGAGGCTCATACCTGGCAAAGATACAGAATATAATAAACAAGATATGTGGGCTCAGCCCTAAATCAGCCCCTTAGACCACACTCTTAAGGGCTCAGGAAACATTGTGGAAGAGGGAATGGGAAGTATGTAAGAACCAGAAGATGGGGTGAAGGGCATTCCCCTATATGATAGAATGTCATTCCCCTAAATGACATTCCCTATATATGGTAGAATCAGTATAAGCCACTTTAACTGTAGTTACTTCCAATCAACACTTTTTTTTCAAGAAATGAGGAGTAACTCATGCATTTCTACTCTT